GCTGCAAATGGTGTCCAGTTAGATCAAAACGGCAAAGTTGTCCCATCAATAACGGCAAGTGATCCGGCAAAGTCGACGAATTCCGCTCATCACCGTGATGAGGAGGCAGATCATACCCCCCAGGTCAAGGACCGTATGGATATCTCCCTACATAATTTTGGTGATTATACCTAGGCTAGATTTAAACAAAGATTTTGTGTGCTCTTCTTGAGGATCTTTGTTTGATCGTTTTGTCTCTCTTGGCACGAACATTATTTAGATTTCTTATCCCTTGCATAGGGTGGAATAGGTGATGGCATTTGAGGGTGCTTGACTCATGTGTTGTTTTGTTTCATTATTCAAGTGCTGGCTAATGTTCTCATATTCAATACTAATGTGTATTGCATGTAATGAGACCGCATTGTTCCTATTCTATTGTACATACATGGTTAAGTCTTCACGTTCACAAGTCCCGATCGTCACAAGTTTTTTGACTTCGCGCAAAATGTGGTTCAACGGTGACAAAAAGTCAATAGGTACCTAAGGTTATTGGTGATTGATGACCGGTCCTATCTAGTGGTTAGATGGGGGGGGTTTAGTGTGGGTGATCACCCAGGTTGCTGCCTGGTTACTGCCAAGCCGCCAAATAACCTGTTTGGACCAGGGAGGGTGGGAGGTATATTATATAATCAGTACAGCATGATCAAGATCACCAATTCAGCTCCATCTCAATCTATTCTGTATTGTACAGGAGCTTCTGCTTCTGATGAATCTACATTAATTGACATACTCTCTGCAACACTAGACAGCATGGCCACTCCAACTCTGAACAGCCAGTCTGTTCTGATGGTGGAGATGAAGACATGCATACAGCATGCACTTGATAGTACCCTGGATGCCTGACCAAAAAAGATCTGGATGCAGTATAAGTTATACCAGAAGAAGTAAAGAGTAGATATCTGTATTATATATATTCTCTTGTTAATTCTTGCTCTCTTCTGTCCTGTTCTTATATTATACAAGACATCTGCATTGGTCTGGCTGACACTCTCTGGCTTCTACTTGCTAGCATTTCTGCTGGATGAAGAGCTTCCAGAATAAAGAGCTGATGACAGAGCAGAAGCTGCTCTGGTTTCTGTCTGAATATGTAGTTGGCCATTCAGTCAAAAGATTCTACTATTTCTGCAACTGTACAAATAAGAATGGAGAGCCTGTTGTGCAAATCCTGGGTTAATCATTTATCAAGATCTACAAGGCTGCAATTGTTAATCTCTGGAGCTATCAACAGAGCTATTATACAAACTCTTACCCCCATTTAGTTAGCCAGGCCATTCAGATTCTGCTTGAAATTCATTCAAGACAGAAGTATGAACACAAGAAGACAGAGTTTGTGAATTACAGTACAGGAATCCTGCTGAATGAATATTATAAGAAGAATATTATACAGCTGGTTGAGTACTGCTGGCAGAGCTGGTTAGAGTTCAAAAAAGATCAGTCAGTAAAGCCACATCTTCACACTGCAGTGAACTTTCTAATAGACTACAGCATGCTTCTCTACAGTAAATTCTACTGTATGATACAGCTGGCTGATCTCTTCATTCTGGAGCTAACAAATAAAGGTCTAACCTCTTGCTTTCTCATGATTTTAATTATGAAAAATGGCAAGACTAATCAGATGAGCCAGATTAAGTATGCTATAGTAATGCATCATCACAATTTCTTGCTCTGCACTATAATACAGACAGTCTTTTATCTCTTCTATTAATAGAACATTATACAAGAGCCACTACTTCAGTTCCACAATCATCAGAACTGGTACCAGCTGTATCTGATCAAGAGAGATGATATGAGAAAGTCTCTGTTATACAAGATTCAGCTGGACTGAATTCAACACATCTATAGTGAAATAGAGCTTTCTGGCCTGAAGAAGATTCATGCTGGATAAGCTGCTAGAGTCAGGCATGCAGAGCAGGTTGAAGTCAGTAAGAGTCAGATTTACTATACTGAAAGATGAAACAGTAATACTCTCAGCTAGTACTATCTGACTAACATCTTCAGAAAGTTTATATAGGCCATGACTGGCTTTGACTTCTGCACACCTGGGAACTTCTACCTGCTGTAGACCAGAATGCCTGTGTCTGAGTCACTGAAGCACACTGTCTGGCTCTGGATTGACAACTGAATGTGGTGATTTGAGTTATATAATGTCCAGAACTCTAACTCCTGTCTTTAGAGATTAGAGCTGAGAAGATTTTCAGATCAGAGTGATTCTTGAAATCAGTTCAGAGAATCTTCTGCTGTACAGCTGGATAGAGATGATCTGACTGCTTAAAAGTTTCTATATCTGCTTTATCATCTTTATATAGTTCTTCTGCAGGATTCTGTCATTCTTTAGTCTCTCTTCTCTGGCCACTCTTTATGAACCAGCCCTGTATTTATAAGAGAGAACTATTATTAGTTTGCAGAGATAGTCTGAATAGCCAACACTTACAAAGAGAAGCTGTATAAAATACAGCTGCAGCAGACAGTATCTATAATAATAGATCAGCTGCATATTATACAGCAGAATCTGAATGTGGTCTGTAATCATTTATATACTGTTCTGAAAATAAGACTGTAAAAAATTAACAACCAGTTAGAAATACTAATCAGTAAGCAGATTTCTTTTCTTGTACAAGCATTTTCTGCTGATTAAAGAATGATGACAGCAGCTGCTGTTTTTAAAGATAAAGATAAAGAGAGAGACAGTAATTCTACAGCATTCAGAGAAGTATAAGCTTCAGTCTGTTTATTAGAGATAGCTTCAGCCTCTGCTAGTGCCTCTGTTTCAGTTACATACTAGCTTTCTCATACAATCACTACAGTTTCAGATCTGTAGCAGAAATGGATAGTTGATCTGAGAGATGACTCTTTAGTACAGAGTCTAGATGTCTTGTACAGAGTAAAATAATAGCCAGATGATACAGAGAGAATGTTCTACAGCAGAAGAAAGATAATCATTGATTATATTAATAGACAGAGATAGAGAAGTGCCAGTAGCAGTACTGCTGTAGAGGAACTAGAGCTTGTACAGCAGTGTGGGAAGCTCAGTTTGAACAGATTATTCAGAATGCTGCAAGTGAAAAAGAAACTGTTCTGATTCTTATTATGGCAAACTCTGTTCATTATATCCAGCATAGCCTGTCATATAATAGAAAGATAAAGAAGAAGAGATGCTGAATACATGATGATAATTTGCTTGGCTTCATCTCTTAGTTTATTTATATACATTATACCAATACACTGTACAGCAGGTAGTATCAGAATTAGTAAACAGTAGATTAAGTATCATCTTGACAACAGATTTTCTTTTCCTTTCTTTCTTCTCTTCTCTTCTCTTCTCTTTTCTCTCTTTCTTTTACTCTAAGTCTGTTTATTAGAGTCTTTATTATTATTATTGCTTTGCTTCTCTCATGAGTCTTTCTGTAGATTATACATCAGCTATCATCCATCAATCATACAATAGCAAGCTAACTGACTCACAGAACAATTTCACAATTTTATATCACTATAATATTCTCCACTGCTAAGATCTCTGCTCATCTCTTTTCTCTCTCCCTCTCACAAATCTGAGAAAGAAAATGTCTGTACAGCTCTGTATGTTGGTGGAATATAAGAAGAAGATGCTGACTTGTTAATATAGAGTGCTTGTTTGATGAACCTCCTCTCACTCTGATCAGATAAAGTAGAATCTTGCTGAAGCTGCTGTCCAGACTCAAACTGATAATTAATCACTCTGTCTCTTTATTGAACAGAATCAGCTGGCTCTGTATACTTACTTCTCTCAGTTACAGCAACTGCTTGCTCAACCAGAAAGAAATATGAAGTTTATTCTTGAATAAATCTTTCTCTATCAGATTAATATATACTGCTAGTTGTACATTAATGCAATTCTGATTCAGTCATGTAGAAGAACTTTATACTGAAGCAGTATCTGCAACAGATATACAGAGATGAAGCTCATAATCTCATTCTTATTGTGCCACTGTATATATAATTACTTTAGAGATGCATGCAGAAACTGCAAATGACCAGACTATACATTCTGCTGCTCTCTACATAACAGGTCAGAATCTGCAGTAAGATATAATAATAGAGAATCAAGTTTGTACAGAGCTGCTGATCATCTACATATATTAGACAGCAGAGTCAGTCTGAAACTGTCTCTTGTCTGCTTAATTCTTCTTCTTGAGAGTGAGACAGCAAATAATTTCATTTATATTAAAATCAATTTTCTTCTGCTCTGCTCTGGAGATTTACCATTGATCTTTCTGTACAAGATTAAGAAGTCTGAGAAGCCAGAGAATGACTTTCAGAGTAATTCTATTATCTTAAACTAGATATGTATAGATTTTCTTTTCTGATTTATCTGCTTTCTTTCTTTTCTTTATAATTTTTCTTAACTGCTCTTGTCTAGTTATACAGGTCTTGTATACAGCATCTGAACATGGTTTGCACTTCTATATAGTGTTCAGGACCAGTATCAGAGCAGCATTACAGCTGCATCAGGTGCTGGTGCTGAGCAGCACTGCTACACACATACTCTGTCTCATACAGGATAGAGAATAGTATAATCATACTATGTAGGCATCTAGCTATCTACAGAATCTATATTTGTCTGCTCTACAGGATCTTCTCTGAGATCCCCAGCTGCTGACCTGAGCTATTACAGATGGTTGGTTGATTGTCTGATGGGTGCACCCCAATACTGCTGTTCCAGCTGTATGGTGCTGTCTGAAAGACCTCTGTAATAAAGAACTCTTACTGGTTCAAATGGCTGACTCAGCACCACCCTCTGTACCAGCTAGTATGCAACTGTCAAGATAACCATATGATGCCAACCCCCCAGAAAACCTGGTTATTTTTGCAGTCTTGCTGACTAACCCCCTGTCTAACCAGGCTACATGGGGCGCCTGGGTAGTAACCCGCCGCAACCTGCCACCCAGCTAACATATGCTATGTTATGATTCAGGGTCCAATATCACCAGTACCACTATTGCGGCCATAGAAGTTACCCTTGCCCAGGTGGTATAGACCAATGGGACCTGTAAACTGGGCATGCTTGTGACGAGCCTCTCAAAGGGGAGTTTCCCTTGGAACAGCTATACTTTAGAAACATCCTACAATACCATCAGAGCCAGGGACCCGTGGATACCGATCAGTATCCCTATAACCTAAACCCCATACCCATAACCTCAGGTGTCCCATATGACCAATGTGAGCATCGGCCATGCGAACCGGCTTACAGTGTTGACGACATAATATCATCACACAAAGGCAGCTTAGGGGGAAAATCAATTTTTGGGCGTGGACTTAGGTTAAAAATCGTCCATTAACTTACACACTATATTTGCTTCTCGACTGCCCAGGACGACAACGCCCACGGACACGATGGTACAACACGCTGGCACATCGCAATCCAAACGGAAGCGTCGTGAGCCAGACTCAGTCGGGTCAGCGAAGCCGCCCGCTAAAAGGCAGCGAAAACCCTCCAAGAAAGTGGGAGATGCTCCAGCCAAAGTCATCGATTTGCCGCATAACTTAGGTACTATAACTGTACCTGAACTAAATAGAGGTGAAGGGGCCCCCAGTCAGGACACCCAGCCGAACGGAGCCGCCTCTAGCGAATGTTATTCAGCAAGCTGGACAGCGATGAATGTTTCTACTCGAAGCTCTATGCGAACCCCTTCTTCACAAGACTCGCAGCAGAAATCCCAACCACGGCAACTTGGTATTGACGTCGAAATCGCGGCTGCTAGTCCCGCGGCGGTGAAGGGGAAAGCGGCGACGACGCCCAGGACAAGCCGGCGGAAAGCTCGGCCAGTGTTCAATGAAACTCCCTTCCCAGAGTGGGCATATCCTACGGCCGAACAGTGTGAAGAAGTTTCACGCCTTTTAGCCACGGTTCACGGAGAAGTCAAAGCGCCAGCAGCGATACCACTGCCGTCGCTGACAATATCAGGATGTGGAGAAGTGCCAAGTGTTCTCGATGCCTTGATTCGCACCTTCCTTAGTGGTGCGACCACCGGCAACAATTCTGCAATGGCGTTCCAGGGCCTCGTCAAGAAATTCGGTGTTCTCCAGGATGGTGTGGGCAAAGGGAGTGTGAACTGGAACAAGGTGCGGGAGGCCCCAGTGCAAGAAATTCGCGATGCTATAAAGAGCGGTGGTCTAGCGGATACCAAGAGCAAACATATTAAAGAAATACTCACCATGGTATTTGAGCAAAACATAGCGCGACGAAAGGATCTTGTCGATGCAAAGCAAGGGGGCAACGAGACCGTCCATCTTTCAGATGAACACATGTTATCCCTGGATCACATGCACGGCTTATCCAAAGATGAGGCGATGCAGGAGTTTATCAAGTATCCCGGAATCGGCGTCAAGACAGCAGCCTGCGTCGTACTGTTCTGCCTTCGTCGGCCATGTTTCGCCGTGGACACCCACGTCTTTCGGCTTTGTAAGTGGCTTGGGTGGGTTCCGCCGGAGAAGGTCAATGAGATTACGGCTTTTAGGCATCTTGAAGTGCGAGTTCCCGATCATCTCAAGTACTCGCTTCATCAACTATTTATATTCCATGGAAAGGAGTGTCCAAGGTGTCGGGCTATAACTGGCGCGACAAGTCAAGGCTGGGAGAAAGGTTGTGTTATCGATCACTTGGTGAAGCGGACAGGTAAAAGAAAGGGGAGCAGGTCCGGTCTTGTTCAAACCAAATTGGCTGTGTGAGAGATGTATCTTTTCGATATTGCTTCGCATAGTTAGCACTTTGGCAGCGTTTTGAACATCTTAACAGAACTAAAAAAGACCCTGGCTGGAGCTGGGACTTGGCTTTCGATAGATCCGAGCTGCGGAGTATCTCCATCCACGAGCTGTTCATCTAATTGGATAGTTATTGTTAGGACTCCTTTTCATGTCAAGATAAGATTCACTCCGTAGTTACTCCGTACACGTTGCCGGATTTTTCTTTTACCCCTTTTTCCTTATGCGTAGAGGCCGTAACGACGGGGAGACATCTTGCATTAGTCGGACTCCTCCCTACAATTTCATTGCCAGGCTAAATATGGGCAATTCGTCCTAGCCGATATGCCGCGCGGAGCAGATTACGGAGACTTTCAAGCCCCCCCCAGCGCTCGGGCGGCCGGAGGGAGAGAGGGACGGCGGAGAGGAGATGCTTGGCGCTGTCCGGCTTAGTTGGGTCTTGGCACTCAACTGCCCCTAACCGCATCCGGAGCGATGGCACTTTTGGGCTTTTGAGCTTCGGCGGCCAGGGATTGCAGCGAGAAACACCATAGGGGTGTGGTCGCTCAGCGTCACTTCGGGGGCAGAGATCTCAGTCCATAAAGGATGGAGGCCCTTCAGTCTCTCGCTAACAAGTGCATGGGCTGCAGTCTCGCACAGATACTAAGCTCCGGCTCCATACTGCTTGCTACCTGGTTCGCCGTCCGCCTCGCTTACAGGTACACGCTTGCCCGGAGAGAACGCCCGGTTGATTTCTCGGTGCCCATTCCACCCGAACTATCTCCCAGCTGGCAAGGCAAAACATGGAGTGAAGTTGGAGACGCGGACAGGGAAATTCTTGAGGCACAGTCTTTCGGGGTATGCACACGACCTTTGTCCTCTTTGGGGAGGATGGAACCTCAGTTCTAACGCCGGGTTGCTGCATAGGAGTTCGGTCCATCTAAGATCCTCAGCTACTGCCCCGCTGATGGGCGACTCCTTGGCGACGAAAACGGGGTGAAACCAGCCTCACCAGAGAAAATTGACCTTGCGGTTCGACGCGCCGTTGTTGCCCAGCTGAAATGGAAACGGACAACTTTCGCCGAGAGGAGAAGAGTGTTGAGGACATTGCTAACGTGTGTACTGCGTGCATTTTGCCTTCTATGGTCTGGTTGGTGAAATGCTGACGTGCACGCGCTGCTAGATACATCCTCGCACATCAAGATGAGATTGTCACCGCCTGCTGTTTAGATTCTGGGAAAACAAAGGTGGATGCCTGTTTTGGAGAAATCCTTGTCACTGCCGAAAAACTGAAATGGACTATTGATCATGGAGAGGAGTCTCTTCGCACCGACTCCCGGCCTACAAACTTGCTGATGATGTACAAGAAGAATACGGTTCGATATGAACCCCTGGGAGTTATCGCAGGCTGTGTCTCTTGGAATTATCCCTTCCACAACTTCATCTCTCCCGTCATCAGTGCGATTTTTGCCGGGAATTCAATCATCGTGAAGCCTTCGGAACATACAGCGTGGTCATCCATGTTCTTCTACAACATTATTCGCGAGGCGATTGTGAGCTGCGGCCATTCGGAATATCTAGTTCAAGCCTTGATGTGTCTACCCCGACATGCCGACGTGTTGACATCTCATCCGAAAGTCAATCATATCATTTTCATTGGGTCCCGTCCCGTGGCACATGAGGTGTGCAAATCAGCAGCCAAGTCTCTTACCCCTGTGACTGTTGAGCTCGGAGGAAAGGATCCAGTGATTGTGCTCGACGATGACTCCACGCTAAAGGACATATCGAGCGTCACATCAATCCTTATGCGAGGTGTTTTTCAGTCGGCGGGCCAAAATTGCGTCGGCGCGGAGCGGATCATTGCTCTTCCTCGTGCCTACAATAAAATACTCGAGACCGTCACGCCTCGAATAAAAGCACTCCGCCTTGGTTCTGTGCTTCTGGAATCTAGGGAGGACAAGAGTGACGCCAGTCACAAACCCCACACTCCCGATGTTGGAGCTGTTATTTCTCAAAGATCCTTCGACCTTCTTGAGGCCCTAATTTCGGAGGCTGTTGGCCAAGGAGCTAAACTCATCTGTGGTGGGAAACGATATAACCACCCCAAGTATCCCCACGGCCATTACTTCACCCCGACTCTCCTTGCGAACGTTGCGCGAGAGATGAGAATTGCGCAAATGGAACTGTTTGCGCCCGTGTTCCTTCTCATGCGGGCTACCGATGTATCAGATGCCGTGAGCATTGCTAATTCTACGGAATATGCCCTTGGAGCGAGTGTTTTTGGACACAACAAACGGGATGTGGAATACTGTATCTCCAATCTCCATGCGGGTATGGTGGCAGTGAATGATTTTGCTGTTTATTATGCCGTTGGACTGCCATTCGGTGGGCTGAAAGGCAGCGGATACGGCCGTTTTGGCGGTGCAGAAGGGCTGAGAAACCTGAGCAATCTCAAAGCCGTATGTGTCGATGGATGGCCCCTGATCCAGACAAAGATACCTCCGACTTTGGATTACCCGATTCAAAAGGGCGAAGGCATTGGAAAGGATGGCCGAGGTGCATGGGAGATGTGTAAAGGGGTCGTGGAAACGGGGTATCATCCCTCGCTCGGTGGTAAAGCCAGGGGCATACAAAAGATTCTCAAAAATATTTGAGGCTTTATTTTGAAATCAACTACAAAGACTTTTTACTTCTCCACTTTTGAAGAGTTTATTTTTGGGACAGAAGCGCCCCTATCTCTAATAGCAGGTATTTAATTGAGATAAAGAACCAAAAGTTGGAAATGTATCATTTTGAGCTAACACCGGGTACAGAGGTCATACTACTTTAGGCACAAAGAATTGGACATCGCTCAAATATATACTTCAGAGGAGAATCACCGGAAACAAGAAGACCGGATTGGGTATCGCGTGGCTAATTCGCTTCTATCATCGACATCATATACCGCACATATGTCCAGAGCGAGTGTTCCTCCTATTTAGAATATGGGATGCGTTTTTGGAATTATTTAAAGCACCCGCTCTGAGTGAGGCGTGTATTTAGACAGTGCGCATAGGTCTCCGGCCCCAGCGGTGCCGACGCCCAACTCCGCCGGTTGAGCGTGTCCGCCGTCTCGAGTACCAGCCGCAGGTTAAGCAGGAGATGATGGCGCTGAATATCGACACGACACCGCCGATGATTGCGGTGAGGATGGATCCGATGCCTTGGACAATGGTCATGAGGCAGTCACCAATGGCGTGAAACTGTAAGGTTAAAGATTAGCTGCAAATCATGCAGGTCGAATTTTGGGGCCCGGGGGAAGCCGTACGATTGATACTATTGCACCCATGGTTGGCTTGTGGGAAGGTGTTTTTTTAGGCTTCTATCTCGGGGTTCTCTTGAACACTAATTTATTGGCGGGAAGGTTCCTTAATGGTATTGATCACTTGCTGTTGGACAGAAAAAAGGTAAAAGAAATTTTCCATCTCGTTCGAACCTGTCATGAATATATAGTCTTTTTCGGGCAGATATCTACTCGCTACCTATCGGCTTTACAAGCGCTATTTTCTTGATCGAAATGACGATGTCTGGGAATATTTCCTGATTGCGTAGCCCTTCACCTTTGCCATTCACAGGGGCCGTGATCACTCGCTAGGAATGGAAACTTGTTCCTGGTCAACGAACGGCAAGCAGCATCAGCCACCAATGACGCCGAAACCCTGCTATAATCCCCATGTTCCATGCGTAAATCTTCATGATGTCAAACTCCGCACCGTTTCCTTGTTGCCAAACGTTTCTTGAATCCCACGTTTGACAGAAACACCTTTATGACGTCATGGCAGTTCGGCGCCATGACACTTGACCAAAAGAGGTTTAGTGTCATAGCTGTCATCTAACGTCGCGTGATATCATTACATAATATTATATTCAGCCAATGAGAAAGCAAGTTCTTTAGTAGCTGCAAACATGACAAAGTTTCGAAACTCTATTTGCGTCAATGAACAAACAAAGCAAACAAGCCTAATAGGGCAGGCATAAGTTTTGCACAGAGTCCAACGTGAGAACAGCGACGCTCGTCTGCCCCTTTTCGCTTCTTTCAACGACCGTCCCGGCAGACGATTCTCTAGCTTGTTGGCTCGTCGAGAGTCTGGGCACTGGAGAGCAATTGTACACTGTTGCAGTACCAGGTGCCATCCATCCATGCCGAAGCGTTGATGTCTCACGACTATTACAGTGTAACTTGGCGAAACCCGTGGGGACAAAGTTGCTCCAAGCTCCCATTTTCAAGCTGACTATGTGAATTGACTGGAAGCAGCTATGGGCCGGGTATCAAATGGCAGTATCAAACTCCCGGCGTCAGATCTTACGCCTGTTAAGATTCGTGGGAAGAAGAAAAGACCAAGGAAGCAGTTCGACGGCGTGGAGGTGGACGGGGATCGATCAACCCAAGAAACGGATCCCAGTCGCGAATCATCGGTTTTTTTTGAGAAAAGGGGTCCAAGGAAGAAGCGAAAGGATAAAAATAAAACCTCCAAACCCCGGGAATCAAAATCTTCAATAGGGCAACTCTCCCTACTCGAATTGCTTCCTGTTGAACTAATTCAACAGATATTTATAGAATGCCTGGAACTCAACTTGCCCCGCGCGTCACCCCACTTGGCGGACGTTTTGTCCACAAGCTGGGTGTACAGTGGGTTGATCATGCTGGCGTTCTGGAATGATCCGGCGCGAGAAGACGACGATTCACAAGACACCATAAGGAGAATGTTTCGACCGTTCCGATATATCCCGATGGACAATCTCGAGCGCCAGCTATTCCAGCTGTCAGTTCTTAGCTGCCGATGGTGCACGCAGGAACGCATTGAAGCTTTGATTAGGAGGATGACCAAACTGTCGTTACATCGATGGATTTCCATTTCAAAGCACAGAGTGACATCCCACTTCGATTTCGATGCCATGGCAGAATCGATTGAACGCGGCCATGGCACCGTACACCATCTACGGTACCTTCAAAATGTCCCGCTCCCGTTTACCCCCTCTCTCGAAATCAATAACCTTGAGACTTTGAGTCTACTTCCTCTTCAATTTCCAATATCAGTGCTAGCATTCCCTGATAAGGTCCTGCGTGGGAGTCCATGGACGGAATCAAAGGTCCGATTCTTGGAATTTCTCTGGCAATACGTCATGATCGCGGAGAATAGGTTGGAGTTCTGGCTCACGTTTGCTTCCCGAGAATCAATACAAGAGGGAATCCATTCCGCTATTTCGGAACATAACCTTCGCGCGTTGCGTGATATATTAGCGTTGGATGATTCTTGTTACCAGTCTCATGACAACAGGCTGCACCAAGTTCTTAAACCTTATCTCCTGCCGGAAGAATATTTTATAATAGCTTCGCGCCAGGGGGAGTATGCTACCGCTATCCTGAGGCTTCTTGTTCGCGCAGCGCCACTATCAGTTCCGTCGGATGACCCTGAACTCACAGAATGGGCGATAAAGTCACAGAATAAACAGAATGTATTTGGAAGTTGGCTAATACAGTATATGAGGGACGTTCCGGTCCTCGCCAAATCTGAAGATACGGTCTTCAGTGAAGGCTGTCCCCAGCCGACTCTGCCACTTTACGGCTGGGATTACAAGGCTGTGTTTGGCGTTGGGCGGCTAAGTTGGACTGCTGAGTTGCTGGAAACAGTATATAAAAAGTGATCAATTTGGATATCACTTCCATTACTTTTACGCGAAGAAGATGTTCTGCGTCATATAATTCTTGCTTCGCTAATTCTCCAAGGATGGCTTCGGAAAAAAACCATGCTGAAAACAACAGCCCAATTCAAAGGGGCATCGAGAGTAGATACTGTCCTCCATCCAGGCAAAGCATTTTCATAAATGATATCGCCCAAGGGATCCACCACATAGAAACGAAATGCCCAGTGATCATCGTCATCGTTATCATTGTCGTCATCATCGCTATGAAAGAAAGGAAAAAAGCAAAGCAAAGAGAGAATATCACCAGATCACGATTTGTCAAATTTCTCCACCAGCTTCCATATCGAGTGGTCCGTCTGCGGTATCTCACCGCGATGCTCGGTGAACAACAATCTCAAAAAAGGATCGTTGTGTATATTCTCAGGCTGAGCACACCGAGCCGCCACTCTAAAGATATTCGATCTAACCGGCCAACGTAGCGGGTACAAATATATCTTGACTCGAATATGCAACTCCAGGAGACGTCGAAACGTCTCGAAGTCACGATCGATAACCAGTTGGCGCAATATCCCCTTCGATCGTTCGAACTTACCATCCTCGTCGATGTACGCCTCGTTCGAGAGAAGGGAAAGAAGTTCAAGTTTCTCCTCCGTCCATGGGCTTCTGAGAAGGTGGTCTGGCATCCGGCAGGGATGCGTGGTGCTGCAGCAGGGTAAACGAAAGAGATCGGTCTCGTGGAAGACGGGGCTACGTTCTCTGATCTGCACGGAGCCGAAGTTGAACCAGATTGCGACTTTGAGGTGTTCACCTGTGTCTGGATGCCTGGCGCTGACGATAAGGTCACCTTTCCCGCGTTTGCCGTGGGTGGCATTGCTGTAGCGGTCCATGGTTTCCCAGTAAGGGTCCAGGTTGTCTAGCCGCGCACGGTCTTGTGGAGAGATGATTAGGTCGGAGCATTTCTGGCGAATGATGTGTTCGACGTATTCTCGCTGGCATTTGCGCATGAGGGAGGCGGTGCACCACTGACATCGTAATATCTCCGTCTGCAGCTCGGTTTTTTGGTCCGCATCAAGGGAGAAGTAGTGTGCTGGTAGGAATGGATGGACGAGCACGCCGCTGCTAGACGAGGGATTGGCGCTGCTGAACGCGACCCGGATTAGCCAGGTATATATGACCTCGTTGGAGAGTGCAGCTGCGATATGTGCCGACGCTCGAGGGAAGTTGAATTCTAGGCTAAGGAAGAAAATCTTATGGATCAACTCGACTGGAAGCCTTTCTATGGGCGCCCGGGCATCGGTAGGTGAAGACATGCCCGACCATCTCCCGCCGGCTGGATTAGGTGGCGAGTGGAGAGCCATCTGATCTGCAGTAGCTGTGTGCACCTACATACAAAATATGACCTGCTATTAGGGCCGTTGGGCCGGTGGGTTTGCGATCGAGTCTCCGACGGAATGGACACTGGGTCATAAAATATGCGTTGGACACCAGAGAGTTGGGAGAACTAAGAATTTAAGGTCTGATCGCATCCACGGCCACCAAAGCTTGAGATCCGGGCCCGTTGAAAACAGGCTGCTGGCAGAAAGATGATCAAGGCAGTCGAACGAGGCTGACCAGGCGAGAGAAGGGTGCATTGCCTCGTCCCGTAGGGTTATAAGATTCATCGCCAACCTTATATGCGTGCATGCGTTTGGAGATGAAGCCGCAAGTCTTGTGATGCGCCCATTGCGGGGTCCTAGATTCCACTTTTAGCAGATCAAAAAGTGTAAGTCAAAAAACAGAGATGAAATAAAAACCTTATGGGCACCGTGGGGGGAGGTTGGAGAAGTACATAAGTAATCAACAGCAAGCCAGAACGGTCGTGTTATGGATTTGAGAGCCGATTCGACGGTGGCAACACGTCGCAGCATATGACAAGGCTCTCGATTCTCAAGCTACCTTTCTGGGATTAGAGGTGCAAGCATCCGAGTCCTTCTTTTCTCTCGTCCACCTCGGTGCAGAAGCGAGCCGGAAAAGCCCAGAAAGCCTCCTTTTCCCGCTCTCGTGTCGTATTGTGGAATTTAACTTTGCACTTGAAGTTGCTGCGTTGGCCTCATGCCATGGCCTAAGAGCGGATGGCGGGAGCCACAATAGGAATGTCGAGCAGGAGACTAAAGAGCGATCCCGGCACGGAGGGGTGAACTGCAGCAGGGACCCCCAGTGGAAAGACAGAAAAGCGTAACAAGTCAGAAGAGGACGGAGAGAACGGCAGGCAGAAGAGCGCAGCGTCGTACGCCTTTCTGATCGGCTCTGAAACGGAAAATGAATAATATCTTATTAAAGCAACGATGATACCTGACCCAGGATCCCGGTAGCTTAGTCGTCATGGACATGCAGGTTGTCGGCCTGGCGCGAAATAGGCTTCGCTACCGAGACCGGGACGCTCTAATCAAGCGGGAAGAGGAGACGGGAAAAAAAGAAAAGAAAAGGAAAAGCAAAAGCAAAAGCGCAGAGAACAACCCGAAGACCTGGGAATTCGCGACCCGAGGCCTTGGGATCTGGCACGTCTGCTAGAGGGCGAGCCGTCCGGTTTGCTGCAAGGATGCCAACCACCCAAGGAATACGACGAACCTGACTGTCGGGTCGCCGGTTGACTTCCCACGGACCATCGCCGCGGGCCGGTCGTCTCGCAACCGTGAAGGACGCCTGTGTAGCCGGTGGAAAGTATGTGATGCGCAGGACGATGGGCTGCTGCAGGTCGCCGATTGCGAGTTCGGTTAAGGCGTCACGAAAATATCTCACCGCCAGCCGCCCTTTCACCCTGATTGCGGCATGGGGTACTCCGTACGGACGACGCACATTGGCTCCTCTACTGCCGGTTGCATGGTCGACGCTGCAGGATGGTGGATCTCGGAGTTCTGCAATTCGACGGAATTAATGTCTTGCTTAGTTACGGAGTATGCGTCCTCCGTACTCCGTAGCTGGTGGTCGTCTCCAACCACGATGCCTTGCCTAGCCGGGCCCTTTACCTAAACAGGAGAAGGATGTCGCTGCGCCGGAAAAGCAATTATCGATGTTTCCAACCTGAAGAATACGAAATACAGGATTCAGCCTGCCTGCCAGAGCACCTTGGAAGGCGGCCACAATCTCGCAGAGGCTGTGGAGTGTTATTCCTCAGGCATGTGAAACTCAATTGCCCGAGATCAATGTGAATGGTTTCGTTTTGTTTTAAGTATCCAGTTAACTAGCTACATAGTGAGTCAATCGCGCCGCTCTGCCGTTGGGCCTATGGAGCAAGGACACCCGCAATGTCTTCTGCCCGTCCAACCAAGTAACTTCAGCGGCAGACGCAGCAGTCATAAGAACACGCACACATCTACCAATACTTCCAGGCGATCATATATGGCCAAGAACATTCACAGAGCGTCATTGTGGCTTTTACTTTCAAGCCCGTTGAACTGCTCCTGTTGGCTGGTCTCCCACTAGTGTGATGTCAGGCCGGAAGCAATTGAACGCCGAGAGCCTATATTCGGGCAAAGGCGGCCCATTCAAGAGCGGGACTGCTCTGCTTCGCTACGAAGAAGTCTCATGACTCCCCATATACGGAGAACTATGTATGCACGAGTCATGAGCAATTTCTCAAGGCAGCTGTTCCATTTCGAAATCTTAGCAGGATCCACACTCATTCTACGAAGGATGCGCGTCATATTTGCGGGGAGTCTTCAATTCCTCACTGGTGAAGACTACATAGCGGTCATGAATATACGTCTTTTTGAAGCTTTTGCACGGCGACTTTCCTGGTCGTTAGGACTTCCTTGGATCAACGGGGAAATATTGAGTGCTCGACCGCTTGCCGGCGTGTTAACCACTCACAGAAGTCTGGGCTAAATCTAGAGCGTCATTTTGAGAGGCTTAGGGTTTCTGTTCGGTCTGACTGTGCACGTTTGGGTACCATACCCGGAGTTCGCTTCCAGTCAGCGGCCACCCGGTGGCCACCCTCCAAATGTAAATGCCTCCAGTTGTCAGTAGGCGTACCGGGTTGCGGGTTTGTATGGTGGGTGTGGAACGATCGTCGGAACCGGGGAGAGCACAAACCTCCGCGGAATGCCCATCATTCGCCGCAGATCATCAATTGGGCTGTTGTATGCCCGACGAGACGAGGGCCGAACGGCCCGCGATCAGACGTGAGTTGACTTGCGTCAATATCGCCAAGTTACCCCATGCCGCAAGCGAACAAGAAGAAGCGGGAGATCAGCATATCCACCGCCAGATACGACTCTCTCAAGTCTTTCTCATTCTTAGCACGCACGGGCGGAAATGCTATCCCTTTCCGCGATCAACCACGTGGTGACCAGCGGGCCGTGGGTTGTCTTCATAGTAACAATGCCTATACTCCCTATATCCTGGCGATTCGAGCCCAACAAACTGCGGGTTCCGGCAAGCGAAGCGAGATGTGCGTGTTTTTCCCAACAGGGTATGATTGTATGGAGCCAAGGAATTAGCTTAATAGCATGCCATCTTCTAAAATGACTTTTACTGGTGTTGGATATGTGAATGAACCTTGGTTTTGTATGTGACTTCGTATGTGACTTCGAGATCTCCAAGCATAGCCGCTACAATGACTGCCACCCTGTCAGTTTTTGAGTCTCAACTATGATTCCACATGTCGCTAAATAGCACGAAGTCCATTCAAGGATCATAGGACCCTTCAGCAATCGGGCACGCTTTGCCCGTTTAGGAGTATAGAAAAAGAAACAAACTTCTAATTCAAAAAGAATTTATTCTATACAGTTCCAGGGACCTAATCTCTCTGGAGTAAACGACGGGCCGAAGATTCTGCTTATCTCGTATATTGACATTTTTACACAGTCGGAATGAACGCTTGACCCAATAAAGGCGTACCAGTCGTTTAAAGGAAGGAGAGATCGCCATATTTCTCCTATAGAAACAGGTCAGCATCTAGGATGGGCGAACTATGCATAATACCAGCGATGACGAACCTTGTAGCCTGGTGGCATCCAGATACCCCTCTTCACCAACTCAGCGGTCTTCTTCTCAATCTCAGGTTGAGCAGTGACAACGTCGTCCTAGAGGCGCAGAAGACGTGCTTAGTAACTACGATTCCAACTGTACTAATCGCAAAACCTGATCAGGTAATACATACCACAGTGAGATCCTCCCATGGTCTAGCAGTCTCAATGTTCTCCAAGGTCTTCTCCAAATACTTCAATTCCTCTTCAACCTTGCCCTTGGTGGCCTCGGCGCTAGTAACGGCCTGGGCCTCAAAGGCCTCGATGGCCTTCAATTGGCGGTTGACATCGTATGTCTGGGGCTTGAAAGACTTGAACTGCTTCTCGATCTCGTCCACGATGGCCTTGTTCTTCAGGACGGAGCGGTAATGCTCAAAGTCGATAGTCTGGGGCGCCTCGGAGAGGGTCTGCACCTTGCGGCGGGCATCATCGTTGCGTTTCTTGAAGGCCTGGAGCGAAGTGGCCGTGCCGCCCCGGAGACCGAGGGAGCTGGCGACCTTGGTCCAGTCGAGTTTGAGTGCTGCGCTGCGCTGGAAAGATCGGAAGCGAAAACGTCAGACTTTGCATCCAAACGGTTCGGGAAAATATGCATAGCAAATCGCAAGGTTCGTTCACTTACTGCTACAGCCATTGTGACGGTGGATGGGGGGGGGATTGGGGTTCGAATGGTGGTTCCGATTGACCAGACGTTGATGAGAGAGATTGTTGTCGCTGCATTACCGATTGGTGAGTCACGTGATCCACTGTTCCGAGTCTTGGCGCGAAACAAACCACAATCGATATGATGGAAATGGGAGAAGAGTTGAGAGACAGGATGCTGATGTGAGGAAGAATTTTTTTTATCTTGTAAAATTCATTCGGATGCTGTTCAACTAGACGACTTTTTGAATCCGATGATTTACAGGCGCCCCGTAGAGATCCATTTATCACGAAGCCAATTAAAAAAAATGGTAGAAAGAACGAGCAGCATACGAAGATGTCCCGTCAGCTCCACGACGGATCTTCTCATACGCTTAGAGCCATGATAGAGTTGACGATGTCGTTATCGTTCTCTTTGAGAGCCTTGATAGCCTTTGATCTGGATACGTTGGCCTGCGCCATGACCAATTCGATATCCTTGGCCTCAAGACCAGTCTCATCAACCTCACCCTCTTCCTCCTCCTCCTCTTCCTTCTTTTCAGTCTCAGGAGCCTTGCCCTTGCCGAGATCGATGTGCTCGTGGCCAGCGTGTTCTCCGTTTCCGGCAGCCTCTGCGGCAGAGAGCTGTTGGGCAGCGGATGCTTGGGCCTGGGAGTTCAAGTCCTCGATCTTGGCTTCACCGAAGATGCTATCAACACCGTCAGTAATTTGTCCAATCAACTAAACACTATAAATATTAGACGGGTGCGACATACATCCAGGTATTGCTGGAGGGGGAGCGGTACACGTCTGGCTGGTTGATGACAAAGAGGATCTATCGAAAGCCAGTTAGCAATTGCCAAAACACCAGTCGCAATTTATCGGTTAGCCCTTACGTTCTTGGGGCGGCGAAGGGTAACACGAGTGATTCCGGGAACGTGCTTCAATCCCAACTTGCCAATTGCCTTGCGAGCCTTCTTTTCGTTGCGGGAGTGGACAGTAATGGCGGCACCGCCTGGGATGGTTGGCTCCTCAGCAGCCTCAGCCTCGGACTCAGAGCTCTCGCCAGCATCTTCAACAGTGGTCTTTGGGACTTCCTCGTCAGGAAGCTCTTCTACTCGTGGGTTCGCCATGTTGTTTTATGGGCTCCAAGCTACATCACAAAAGTTAGGTCACCACACAAAAGTCACGCTCAAAACATGGCATGATTTCAAATTCACACACAACAATCAATTGAATAATGAGAGCTAACTTACTGGAACTGTAAAAAAGGAGTGAAAACGGAGAAGTATGAAGGTAGTTGTCGTGATGCTATGAGGTTATCTGAGGATGTGTGAAAGGTGGTTCAGTCTGCTTTGGCTGGAGGGCTTTTGGGGTCTTGCCGAATCTCGTTTAGCGAGGTTTTACCCCAAAAGTGCTATATCCGCGCCCTGGCAGAACCACCATACCCATGAACATGTATGACTACATCACGTATCTGGGTCTGGAGAGATATAGAAAATAGCAAGAAGTTGTGGACATGTCATATTCTTTTGTTTTTTTCGTGAATTCTACAGCATTTAATGCAAATTGTAATCACATTGCTACAAACCATACCCACAGGCGCCAGAAAGCACACCAGTACTGGTATTCCTAGACAGGCAGAAGTAGGAAGTTGTCAAGGAACATAGCCATTTATTCCGATTCATTAAGAAAAGATTTTGGAAAAGTCGCAGTTCTCAATATCGGAATGACATTGATTCCAGCTGTATTTGTTTGAATGGAAATCGAGCGACCTCCAACCATTAGGAGAAGCCCTTTCTCCATTCCCTCAGCCTTAGCATCGCCCTCATCACATTCACGAAGCTGCGCGGACCTTAGCTTGTGCCTTCTGCACCTCGTAGCGAGCCTATAACATGTCATTTATTAGCCAACTGCACTCTCATTCGCGATCTCCATTTACTCGAGAAAATGCGTCATAGCTCTTCCCGCGTGTAAGGGTATATGGGTTGTACGGACCTGCTTCTTCAGTCTCATAACCTTGAAGCGCTCGAAGTCGGTGAGGTTGCGTCTCCGTTCTTGCTGTTCTCTCTTCTTCGCATAGTTGCTCTGTGCCCACTTGGCGTCGATCTCAGCCTTCTCCCACAACTTCTTGATGGGTCCTGTGCCAGCAGCGCGCGGGAGTTTGGGAATGGTGAAAGGAGTCAAGGAGACGTGAGCGAGGGCAATTGCGTGACGAGGAACGACATTGTTCTCTTTGCCTGAAGGACCATCGACCAGAACCTAAAAAATTCGCAAACATGATCAGAACTCGCCCTTCCCAACCCGGACGTTTCTCATTTCTAGTCAAAGACATACGCGCTTATGGTCGATAATCTCAGCAATAACAGCCAATTTTCCCGCATAAGGACCGCTCCGGATGAGCACAACGCGGCCCACCTCAACGAGCTTCCATGACGAGGCCTTGATATCGATCTGAGCCATGGCGAAGGCTTCCTGGGAGGACAAAAATCGTCAGTCGTGGGGAAATTGAAAGGGCGCACAAGGCACGGGGTCGCTCACAATCCACCGGTCTAGTTTGGCGTTGGAAAGGGTGGATAGATGTCGGATTGTCGTTGTCGATATAATGTATCGCGAATTTCGGGAGTGGCAGCGTCGCCCACAAAACCCTCCTCGCTTAACCCTAGGGCTTCCGTTCTGGGTTTAGCGCATTGTCCCCAACTCCGCGCCAGTATTTCTTGCTGTAAAATCTTTTTTCATCATCTTTTCATCTCGACTTTTCACCGTGTCAAGGGAAAAAAATTTAATAATAATCCCCTGCAACCCACGGTCTATCATGTCGCTTACTTGCTAACCGGTGAGTGTGTTTTGCTAATGCTCCTTCACTCCCTCCTTGCTCCAATGATGCGGTAATTTGCGGTTGAACCATCCGCTGTGAAGCTCTCGCCTGGGTTTCTCATACAGCGGTTAGATAATGATAGCCATTTCTTACATATTCTGAATACGGCCTTGGCTTGATATCTGCTCTTCTCGGATCCTTTTTGTTCGAGTTTAATGACTGACTTGAACTTCAGTATTTAGGCTATTTGACCCAAACCATCCAACCTTCGCAGATTCGTCCTGTACTACCCCCAGAGGCAGCTTGCATGCTCGACATCTTTGTTCTGTACCTGGGATTAGGAATGAGTGTCAAGGAATCCTTTTCTAGATCATGAATGAGAAGCTGTACTGCTCCGGTTACTGAAAAAAGGTACATACGGCCTCCTCGTGTTTTCTATCTCCATCTTGTCCGTGATGACACCCAAACGCACTAGATAGTAGTTGATGCCTTCGGGTAATGATATCTCCTGTTTACACCAAGATCGCTGAGGACAAATGCACCTGATACCTATAGTTTTCATTTTTCATTGGCGAATTTGACGCTGACAATATCAACCAGACTTCTAGGGAACTGCTCTTTGATTTTAGATGTCTGAACAAGCCATGTCGGGTATGCTTTTTTCATCAGGCGTACCCGGACACCATCTATGATTAGTTTGTAACTAATCATGCTTACGATGGTTTTAATCAAATTTGAATTTCTTGATGCGCTTCAAACTTTCTGTATTCATGTGCCATTTTCCCCAACGAGATCCAGAGCACCTTTCTATGCAGAAATACCAATTTTGATGTACAGAAATGATTAATGAGACGTATTCCACAACCTTTCAATCCTAGCTTACGACAAGGTCACCATCAGCTCTTGCTGAATGGCAACTTCGTACCCCGATGTCTCTATTCCTCTTGCTATTCTTGAAGCAACCTCGTACAGGATTGTTTCACTACGACTTTCCAACTTGGATCTTCAGCAATTTATCATGCACTATATTCACCGGCTGCCTATTTTATGGCTTCCGGGATATGCTCGCACATTATCCCCCCCAACTGCTCATTGTGCAATCCACGACCGCTACCCATGCTGGCGATGTCGATAAGGGCCGGAGCATGTCTACGTTGCCCAGACCGTATCCTATACCAACAATCTTGACTGTCCCAGTTGTCTGAGGTAGCAAAAATAGGGTTTATATTAGACCTGATGTGTTCCCCTCTGCAGTATGTGCGCGGTATATCCCGTTCCCCTTTGTCACCATCCGTCCCCGTGACTTTGGCTTCTTGTTTGAGACAACACTTTAGCGCACCCACAAAGGTGCTCTTCATATTTCTCATAAAGTGACTGCGCGGATGTACCTCTCACTCTTCAACTGCTTTGCCTGCATCCTTTCCTGTTCTCGAATTCACCAACATTCAAGGTCAACATGTCGACTCCGTTGAGCCTTCGGGCTCACGGCTCTTCCCAGCTCCCAATACTAGACACAATCGGTATCGGTTCTTTAGTTGCCGCTACCATATGGACGCTTTCTGTGTTTTCTGCCCTAGTGTGGATTCTGCATAACATGCACATAAGGCCGATTCGTCTTTTAAACCTCCATGTCCTTTTCTGGTCTGTTATCATCCTTCATGGCTTTTGGCTCGTCAATGTGCTTGCCTATCCGCTGATGGGACCCATGTCCTGCGCAATGGAGTTCTGGTTGATGTCCCTGGTTCTACCGATCGGCGTCATGCTATATCAGTTTCATAACTTTGACGTCCTCGCGTTGATCATGGGTTACCGAACAAACACCGAAGATGATCCCTTGTACTACCAGGATCGTGGTTTCCGAGGGATACTTCGCCGTTGGGAGCGCTACTGGCTGGCTCCACCAGTAATTCGTGCAGCGGAGCTTGTCTTTTTACTCTTAATGATACTGTGGCAGGTATGTCGTTCCTCCACTGGGTATTCGGAGAGAAGAAGGCGTAGTGGTGCTGGGAATTCTGAAGCTTATATCTCGACAGTTCCCTATCTCTCTAGTGAACTATCTCACTTCCAACAAATTCCAAGAGCATGGACTCTGGTCATCTTTTGGCAACGAGTTCGAATGTCGCAGAGGATTGGAGTGGTAGATTTCAACAATATCTACCTCTGCTCTGAGTATTGCATGCTGACGTGAACTCAGGTTTCCAGCAATTTTTTGGCCAAGTGCCTGGGGCCTTATTGTACTCCCATGGGCTCTGTGCACACACCGGGGTTTGCCTGAGATTCAGTCATGGCGTCCTCAAACAATATGGTCCCTGTTGGCTGTGTAAGTGCTTTCTTCTGTTTGGACACCAAGATTAGCTATGGATATTTGCTTACAGCTCTGTATAGAATGTACAGTGTAGTGCTTTGGGTTGTTAAAGTTGCTGCTAGAAAACCCGACGACAGTGAGCTTGACAGCTTCTGGGGATCAACACTATGGTGAGATTCCCCAGCCGGTGATGTTCCGAACCAATTTGCTGTTTGCTAATCTATTGTCCTTTCAATTACAGGTTTCTTCCTCTCGTCACAGTCTTAGAAGCTGCAGCACTCTACTTGCCCCTCCAAACCATCTCCTACATGAGGAAGTTCCTACGCCTTTGTGCACAAAATCACACAGTTGTTGAGCCCCTTGAGACACCTCCACTGTCACCAACATCACCCAGAGCAGATCTGAATGCAGTGATTGACGGAGACATGAGCGCTATTCTCTCGTTTGTTCTTACAAAAGATTATTCTGCAGAAAACATTCTCTTCCTACGCCATGTTCGCAACTGGAAAGCCAACTGGGAGCGTTTTTCAGCAGATCATGACAATCCTGAATCCCTCCGCCGCCACATGTTCACTCACGCTGTTGAAATTTACTCAACATACGTCAGCCTGCGCACCGCCAATTTCCCAGTCAACATCGAAGCGGCCATCTCCTCCGCCCTTGACAATATTTTCTCCGAAGCCACACAGTTAAGCGCCTCTGGCGACTCTGGCAACCTGATCACTCCGTTTGATTCTGTTATCGACACCAGCCAGGGAAACAATAGCGAGCCGGCCATCCCGCTTCGAAATCTTGGTCGTCAGTCTTCCAGTTCCTCGCGGCCTAGGCGTGCCCCAAGCATGACAGAAAATGCTTCTAGTGAGATGGTTGAGCGGTACGTGGAAGTCATTCTAGCCGACCTTAAGAAGATAGAAGAGCGCCCATCGAGCATGCCCGAGGCATTCACCATTCCCGAAGCTTTTGATAAGGATGTATTCGAGGAGGCTGAGAGGTCCGTTATGAATCTGGTGTTGAGGGATACATGGCCGAAGTTTCTGAGGTCTGAAGGGCGACACGAGGCTGGGAGAGCCACCGAGAGTGCATAGGGACTTTGAAGGATGAAATAAAGCAGGGTTGAAAAGATTTGGAGATGTTGAGAAAGGTTATTGCTATTGTTTTAAAGATATCTTGTGGCTCTTCTGGTTTCTCTGGATATCAAAGTGAGTACTCCGTACACAAGCTCTAGGTACTACTCCTCTCCAACCTTAAAGAAATGTTAAAAGTGAAGAATGTAAGCATGAAAAGAGTACCAATAAATCCCTAAACTCAAGAACTTTGGCTTTTTTCCTTGAGCACCCCGCTAAAACAAAATGAAACATCCGTTAAATTCCCTTTCAACAAATTCCCATCAACAGGCTTTTTTGCAGAGAGACCAAAACAAAAAATTATATATGTACATCACAAAGCAGGTATATCCATATCTATTGTATAAAACAATCCTTTTTTCCTCTTTTCTTTTTTTCTGTCTTTATTGTTGTTTTGCTTAAACAGCTCTGTGCCCATTTTCATCATCAGATTTATCAAGATCATCATTGTTGTCATCATTGTCATAATCATTGTCTTGTCCTCCGTGCCACCCATCTGCTTCTAGGTTTGGTGACCGAATTCCAAAACTGAGGAGGAAGCCGATAAATGCGATGCCTCCGAAAACCCCGAAGGCGAGCGCTTCTCCCTTTGGCTGCACTTTTGTCGCCACAGAGAAAAGGCTGCCAGATAAAAAGGGGCCTGCAGCCCGACCGGCGGCAGAAATAGTTTGAGCGAGGCCGTTGAGGGCTCCAAGGACGGAGTTGTCCGGCGCGGAGTTTGTAACCTGTGCGACGTCAGTACCAACGATGGTGTTATCGGGGTTAAGGGGCAAGTGAATCGGGAATGGCATACCAGGAGTAAAGCACTGGTTAGACCCCCGACCGCTGCGATGGTCTTCAGGAGCAAAATGAAGCAGAGCTCGATGCTTAGAAGGATACCGTCCTTGGAAAGTTTACCTTCGAGAGCAGTCTTGTCTTTATACCCAACAAAGGGCATTAGGGCAAAAGAGATGACAAAGCCAAAGAGGCCGGCGCGGTATGACCACCTATTGCCCATCTTGTCTCTCAGCCTCCCAAATATGCAGACTTGAAAGGCAATCGTGACGATGCCTGCAAATCCGAGAGACAACCCAATCTCCTGTGGTGTAAGCTCGCGGCCGGTGGGACGTGGGGCTTGAGCAAATATTGGATAGAGAGAGTTGTATGAGACGTTTGACAAGGCAAATATCAAGTATGTAAGAAGTAAGAGAAATACATCTCGGTTTAGCACTTCGTAGCTCGCGAGATCCTCACGATTCCCGCGCCGCTCGAAAAGGGGAACGGCGGGTGATTCGACATAATTGCGAGTACTTACGTCGCTATCGTAGCTTCTGCGACGCCTGGATGAGCTCCTACTTCTTAAGTAGGACGGTCTCGTCGAAGATGTAAATTGCCAGAGCCAGGTGAACAGATCACGGACCTTTTCCCCTATTTCAGGAAGACTGACAGCATCTTCAAGACTTTCTTCCAGAAAGAAAAAGGCCATGATAAAATCGAAAACCAAGATCACCGCCGAAGCAATATTTGGACCAAGATAAGGGAACCTCTCATCCAGACGAGTATTCTTCGAAACCAGGAGACCACCAAGTATCGGCCCAGTAATTCCTCCAATTCCATAGATAACAGGTAGATAGGTAAAAGCACGCGACTGATTGCTGCGGTCGGTTATTTCTCCAAGGCACGTCGAGACTACGCCCTGATTGCCATTGACCGCGCCCATCAGCACCTGCACAAGAATCGCCTGCCATAGTGTCTTGCAAAATCCGAATGCAACGAAGCAAGCCGCCGTGAGAATCGTACCCAGCAGGATAACGGGCTTGCGACCGATGCGATCCGAGAACCAGCCCCAGAAATAATTGGTCACAAATTGCGCCAGGGCAAAGGACGACGCGATCGTCCCGACATACATGCCGACTTTGGAATGTTCAACGTCCGGAAACGAGGAGGCCATGTCGGGCAGGTAAGGGCTGATGGAATTGAGCGCTGTCTGCTCGCAGAGAGCTATCAGAGCCAGGACGGCCATCTGCCTCACCGGTATGGGTGTGCCCGCGGAGGAGTTTTGATCGCTGTCATTGTCGCTGTCGGTCCGGGAACCATCGATTAAAGGAGTAGAATCGCTAGATGGAGGGCGGCCGCGGGACGTCGGTGGCGGAGTCGCAAAAGTGTGATATCGTGGTGTAGAAGATTTGCGCCTGGGCACGGAAGGGCGAGCAGCCATAGCTACCGGGAGCTGCGAAGGCTGGGGGAACAGTAATGAATGACGCGTTTAAAATGCTAAGAGACACCGCGCATTCTGAGCAAAGAGGGAATAAGATGTCTACTACTTAAAGTGTGCTTGACGATGAGATCATTCGGGGTATCCCCTCGACTCTGCGGTGACGGATTCACGGCGGGGGGATACTGTTAATTTCTTTCCACCCAATTGCACACAAAAAAAAAAAAAAAAAGAAAGAAAGAAAAAAAAGGCGATAGGCTAGGTGTAAGTCAAAGAATAAGTCATATTTCCAAATCCAATCTGTGCCGTCTCCCATGGGTCATGAATCAGTGGCGGCGATATCCCTTTTGCCCCGTGAAGGGAAAAAGAGCCGTTGAAGGCGGACCCTCGCGCCAAGCCCTGAGCCATCCCTCGCCAAGCCAGCCCGGCACCAGCCAGGTCGATCAGGAGACGACAAGAAGAGCACAAGATAAAAAGGTGACGAAGAGGACCGGTTTGGTAAGTCTGTCCAGGAGTTACATTCCTATGCTACGGGTGCTATGCTCATTTCATCAACAGTCCAACCGCCCACGGAACGCTCAATCCCCTCAGGTCCCCATAGTGCTGCCCAACTCCCAGGAAGACAATTGGAATGCCCGTCGCGTGCACCATGCTGACCAGCGTGCCAACCATATCTCCTACAGTGTCGCATTTGCTGATAATAAACCCATCGAGACTCCTTCCGGCCCCAAATGCCTGATTGAAATTGCGCGCTTGCATCACACTGTCCGTGCCAACAAGTGCTTCCCCAACCATGAAGATCTTGTCTGGAGCGGCAAATTTTGCAAATTTCTCCAGGGAAGACATGAGACGCTGATCGTTGTGACGACGGCCGGCAGTGTCAATGAGGACAACGTCGAAATCATTACTTGCGGCATAGGCGACTGCATCTTTGGCGACATTCGCGGCATCTTTGCCGTAGCCCTTTTCGTAAAGCTCAATTTGTCCGACTTGTTCTCTCTCACTCAGCTCTTTCAAGTTCCGTGCATGGACGCGTAGCTGCTCCACAGCGCCGGAACGGAACGTATCGCAGGCCGCGATAAGGACCTTATAATTGTTTTGAAGCAGGAAGAAACAGATTTTGCTGAGGTTTGTCGACTTGCCAACGCCGTTGACGCCCACAATTGAGATCACATATGGGCGTCGAGCTTGCTGATTGTTGCGAGGAGACGTTACGGCATCGATCTCGCGGAGCAGGTCCAACGATGATGTCGGTGTGAGAATCTTGCGCAGAGAGGATTCCATCGCCGAGCGGAGTGCGGAATCGATGCTCTGGAAGCTCCCGGTCTTTTTCCCCACCAGCTCGTGCTCCACACCCTCACATAGGCGAAGAGCAGCTTCGCGCGCAACGTTCTTCTTCAGCAAATGGTCCTCCATTGCTTTGATAGGCTTTTCAAGGTCGGCCTTGGTCAACACCTTTCCACCGACCACGTTCCGGAATAGGCCGCTGATAGCTCCAAGACCGGAGCTAACCATGCCGCTGGGTGTGTTGGACTTTGCCTTCTCCTGATCTGCTTTCTGCAGTATAGAGTGAACTTCATCTCCCAAGTCTTTGAGGACGAACTGGCCCTTTGCAGTTTTAGTTCCGAATGAGCGAGAATCAACCTCTTCAACCTGAGGCATTGACTCCGTAGCATTAGTGTTGGTGGCTGAATAGTCAAGGACCTCCCCATCATCCTCCTCAGCGAGCCCGTCAATGCCCCATTTTCTCATCTTCTTCTGCCCACCTTTGGTAGCTTTGCCTTTCTTGGGAGAATCACCATTCGGAGCAGTGTTCGCGGCCTTGCGCGCGCGTCTTGAAACGCGGCCCCCGGGCCCGGCTTTTCCAGTTATAAGGTGGCTTGGAGCAGGGGATCCGGACCGAGAAGTCCCTGGGGACATAGATGGCGTACTATCCTTCGACGCCACCGGCGCCTGTGCAGCACGATGCTGCGCTGTTGATAAGTCAGCAACTGTACGACTGGCAGTTTAGTCGCGTTGTGTCGTAACGTACCAGGCAAAAGACCCGGAACTGGTGGCGGAGGTGGGCCTCCAGTGTCAGCGTGGGCCAACGAGTCTTTCTTTTCTTCCACAATAATACGGGGCCCATCTTCGGTGGGCGCTCCAGCCGCATTCTCCAGCTCCTGGAGCTGCTGGTCGAAATATGGATCGAACGGGTACTCAACCACCCTGTGCTTAGGTCCCTTCAGCTGTTCCTTATAAAGATCTATGAAAATAGTCTTAATATTTTCAAGTAGCTCATCAATCCAACTTAGGTGTAAAAGAGACTGGTAAACGGCCTATACAACCTCCAAAGTTAGTTAAGTTGAGCGGGCAGAAGCTTAGCTCAAGGCGATCGTACCACAAAGAGCAATCCTAAATCCTTAGACCTGGTCCATCTTAGGGTATATTTCTCTTTCTTGTATTGCTGGTGTGCTGTGCCCTCCGCGCCAGAGTCCGGCAAGTGAATTTTCTCTTCGATAAAGACGGTGCTGATAAGATCGTTGACAATATGTGCGCCGACTGGCGCATATGACCTTGACCAGAGAACAACACCTGAGGCCGTGATGATTTCAAACGAGTCCAACATTTTAGCTAGCCAAGTTACTTTCTGTCTACTTCCAGCTCCAGAGAAAGTCCTTGCGCGAGAACCAACAAGCACTACTAGGTGAGCGAGGAAAAAGTCAGACAGACATTGTTCTGTGCCATCATCACACCATCTCCGCGCACGGACCAGCTGGGGCCAACTCTCATCAAAAGCCAAACCAAACTGCATGCTGCGAGTTGGTCTGGACAGATCACCATCTCTGTTCGCCAGCTTTCTCAACAGTGTACGTATAGAGTTATATATAAATTTACATTGCTCCTCTCCGGCCAATCGGTACTTTCAGCTTCTTCTGACAATCTGATGTAATTATCTTGCCATCAACAGCTCTGAACCTCGCCCCGGCCCAAGAGCCAACTGCCCGCAATCGAAGTCACCATGCACAGAACACCCTTCCAGGCTCCTCCGCCTGCGCAATCCCCTCCTCTCCACCATCCCGTTCCTCAGCATGTCTCCACGGTACCCATGATGCGCTCGCCACCACCTCCCACCACCCAGCAACCGCAACAATCCAGCTATGGAAACCCGTATCAGCCAGCTCCCGCACAGGGGGGTAGCGGCACATTCGCGCCCAATTTCGGCGGCTTCATGACAGATCCCACGACGCACATGGGCTTTCAGGTTGGGAAATCAGCCATGATGGCTGGTCAGGAATATATGGAGCAGAATGTAAGGTTGCCCTACTCTTTGATAAGAATGCGCTCTAACACACCCACCTCGGCAGCTTAACCGATATGTCTCGATCCCGGCGTTGAAACATTACTTCAACGTTTCCAACTCCTACGTGATTAAGAAACTCGGCCTCGTTCTCTTTCCCTGGCGCCACAAACCCTGGTCTCGACAGCAAGGACGCCTCTCTTCCTCAACGACCGGTCCCAATGGCCAGATTTCTCAGGCCCAATACACCTCAATTTACCTCCCACCTCGCGATGACATCAATTCCCCTGATATGTATATCCCTGCCATGGCGTTGGTGACGTATATCCTACTTTCCGCTGTCCTGGCTGGCTTCCGTGGTAGCTTCCACCCGGAGCTGTTGGGCTCAATAACTACAACAGCACTGGCCGTTGTGATATTTGAGATCATTTGCTTAAAAGTTGCAATGTACATTCTCAGCATCAGTAACGACTCTCAACTCCTGGACTTGGTCGCCTATTCCGGATATAAGTTCGTCGGCATCATTCTCACTCTAGTTGCGGCGGAAACCCTAAGCCCGGGACGAGGCACTGGAGGCTGGGTCGGATGGCTTGTTTTCACCTATACCTTTCTCGCAAATTCCTTTTTCTTGGTAAGTCTTTTCCTGCATCTCTACGATGGACGGAACTAACATCTCCTCCCAGCTCCGTTCCCTGAAATATGTCCTCCTGCCTGACTCTTCAAGCGATGGCCCGATCCGTGGAGGAACTATGCCCACTGTAGCCCGCTCCCAACGGAACCGACGTACCCAATTTCTTTTCATATATTCCTACATCATGCAATTCCTCTTCATGTGGGTCCTCAGCCGACTGGATCCCATCACATCCACATCCGCTCCGAAAATCAAGCCTCCCACTGTTCCCGCATAAGCGAGGAATCTCCAAATAATGACCTAGAGATTTTCAGCTTCCCTTCCCCTTTTCCTAATGTGTGTTGGCAGGTAATTAAAAAGGATGCGAAACAAAAAGGAGCGTGCATGGACTGTTGCAACCAGTTTCCGAACCTAACTGGTGTACGAGTATATTTTAATCAGATGATTGTCCAACTTTGGTAAGGTCTACGTGTTTACATGTGGGTGTCGTGGGCTAGATTTCTATTTTGGTGATGATCTTGTGTGATGTTATTGGGCTCGCATTAGTTCAGCTATGTTTTATTTCACATATTCTAACACCTTTGTCCAAACCTGGTGCTCTTTCGCGATTCAGATTCTTCTCATATTTTATACCCACCCCTTGCTGATCTTTTACTCCAGTGGCGCAACTACACTTACCTATATACCTCTACAACTTGTGCAGCTAGGGAAAGCTTAAGCAAACCTGTTAACCTGAGATAATGCAATTTCAAATTTCAATATCCAGACTACTACACTCAATATTCAGTCTTCATATAGCTTTATACCCCTGATTTAGACCCACTGTTGTTTTCCCCGACCCGCTGATTTCACAAGTATCTTGACTCTATTCGCCTTTTGCCATTCCCGCCCCAAAACAATTTCTACTTACTCTGCAGGCTGTTTGTTCTCTTTTTCTTGCACTAAATGTTCATTTTCCTTGGCCTTCCCTTTAGCTTCTTTTTTGGCTTCTTTGATCTTTGCGCGTTCTTTGGCGGCATTCTGTTCTTGAATGAGTACGTTCCGTTGCTCCTCCGCCCAGGCCGCGAGCTTTTCTGTGTTATTCAGGCACCA